ATTTTAACAATCAGGAACTAGAAATCCAGAATACTTCAAGAGAATCTTGTAGATGAGGGAGGTAAAGGTCAAGGTGTATGAAGCTTGACAGAGATCAATGTTACACTTAAAAATCGAGAAAGCAAGAGAAAAATATTATTCATAATTCTTTTCTAAAAAGTAAATTAACAATGCATAAAACAAGTTGTAGAACTTCTACAAGACAGAGAGGATCAAAAAGGTAGACCGGACTTACAGAAGGTGGGAAAACAAAACAGGGTCAAAACAAGAATGAATTTGAAAGGCCATAAAAGCCTGATTTTAATGGTAAAGGCTTTCCAGTGGAAGCGTGTGCTATTTGCCAGAGACACAGCCCATGTGGCATTAAACCAGGGAGGAAACCGGGCATAAAAAAGGACAGTCTAGGCTCACATGAACACAAAGGAAACAAGGGTGACAACGTTACTATCAGACAAAGGAAAAGGTGAGCCAGTGCGAGGGATTTTAAATGCTACCTCAGATAACACACTAAGAGGATATACTAGCCATATACCTGGAAATACTGAAACATGCTGAACAAACATTGCATGCAACATGAGAGAAGGTTTCAGAAAGCCTATAGTAAAATTGAATGAAAAGGTGGGGACTTTTCCCCCTGAACATTTTAAAGCCTCTCTTACAAAAAGAATGGGAGGAAATGACAATCACAGTGAAGATCTTTCTTCAAATTTGACAAATCAGACAAAAGGACCCCCCAAATAACAAACAAATTGGATTTGAATAGCATACTTTTGAAATAGTAATAACAGGAACAATTAAACAACTCAATTATATATGTATAACTTTTTAAACCTGTTCCTTCAACTAATAGACCATATACACTTGTTTTCAAATGCCGAAAGGAGAAAAGTTGATTATGGAACAGATGACAAGAATACAGGGTGGTAGGTGTGGGTTAGAGTCTAATAAGGAATCTCAATGCTATCCAGTAGATTCAGGTTCAATTGGGTTACACATTGAGTTGTTGCTAATCACAAGGCTAGCAGTTCTAAACCACCAACCCCTCTATGGGAGAAAGATGAGGCTTTCTACTCTTGTAAAGAGTTAGTCTCAGAAACCCACAGGAGCAGTTCTCCTCTGTCCTATAGGGTCACTGTGAATGATGAAAAGATCATTAAATTTCCTTAGAAAATGCATCTTCTAAATATCTCTTGGGCCAAAGAGGAAATCAAACTTTAAATCTGGGATTCTTTACAGAACAGGAAGGGAAAGATTAACCCATGGCAGGGAGCACATCTGTGCATAGGAGAGATTTTAGCTTTAAATGCTTTTATTGTTTAAAGAAATTATGAAAATAATGAAACCCAAACATTCCACTCAAAAACCAGAACAAGAAAAATAAAGTAAACCATAAAAAGGGGAAAGTAATAAAGAACAGAAATTCATTAAGAAAAAAAATATGACAAAGCAAAACAAAATCTAAAAGGCTGTGTAAAACGACCAATAAAACATATTGTTTATTCACTCTACAATTACGTTTTCTGTTCTGGACACACACTCTTAAAAACAAACGAAAAGGACAAACTCACATAAGTATGACTGTGTCGATTAGGAGTTTGGGTTCATTTTTATGGCACAAATACAAACACCTATAATTGGGAGAAATCATGGATATTAAAAGCAAACCCTGTTATAACAGCCATTGCAAAGAATAATGATCCATCAACAATTTCTTGTGTAAAAGCCCTGTATGTTTTAAGTCCGCTCTATCTGGGACTCTCTTTA